CAAGGCTGGGCTCCCGAGGCATACCTAGAAGAGATTGTAGTCCCGATCCTCGCTGCGGCCGCTCCCCCGCCACCTCCACCACCTCCTGCAGCTCCTAGAGCAGTCACGCTTTCCAACGTGAACCCCGTAAACGCCGTCGTAACCAACGGCGCTTCTCGCGCTGCCGCGAAAGCCAAACCCACCCCACCAGCTCCACCGGCCAAACGGCCAATCGCCAGTCGCAAGCCGGCGCCATCCCCCGCCCCGCGAGACAGTGCGGTAAGCATGAACTCGCACGACTCGTCGGGCGGGAGTGGCCGTGCCACGCCAAATAGTATGAATAGTGCTAGCTTCGCGGGCGGGCTCGCGGAGGCGTTGAGGCAGAGACAGAGTGCGATGAAGCCGCAGGACGGTGACGATTGGTAGATGCCTGGATGAGTAAGTGTGGCTGGCGCATTACTTTATACGTACATTTCCGATAGATAGTTATGTTGCATGATTTTCTTTTTCGTCGTATTTATTTTCTGTTCTACTCTGGGTTTTTCTTGCCGCCGTTCGCATTCGTTTCTTTTATCGTTTTCTTTTTTCTTTTTAGTTTATATTTTTCTTCTAAACTCCGCCCCTTGCCTTCGCGCCTCTTCAATTATATTATAACATTATCCTGGATTTTCGATCTGTACGTCTCCCCCTTTACGCCTTTTCAGACGATTAAAATTTTTGCGCGGAAAGACGTAGCGAGTTTTACATTGCAGTTAGATCCAGACACTGAACATTGAAAAAAGTAATGGTGATGCCCGTCCGTATTAGCACATTCGTTGATTCTTACTTTTATTTTATGCCATGAAAATTCCTTCTTTTTGTTATCATGAGAGGATAAGCATGAAGCACGCAAGGAATTATACCTCCTTTGCATTTTCTCTCATTGCTTTTTACATCTCCAACCCGTGAAATATCCCAAAAGTAGTCAATTCCTACATGAGATGTAGTATCTATATCTGATGCTGCATTGAATATACGCATTTTTTTTTTTGAGAGCTTATTGCGACTGTGATAAACATGTTGGCAGCACGGAGGCACAAATAATTACTTCTTCGCCTCCGCAAACGCCTCCTTCATCGCAACAATAGCTTTGTCAATATCATCTCGTCCGGGATCCATCACGCTAACCCCCATATGCCCAAAGCGGATGTATTTGCTTGCCATATCCTTATGTAAGCCCCCGGCAAACACAACGCCCTTCTTGGCAAGCACCCGGGCGGATATTCCGGCGGCGGTCATGCCCTCTGGTAATCGGATGGCCGTCTTATGCATGTAGCTTGGTCCTCCGGCTTGGTCGCCAGCTGCCGCA